ACAGTTCTGCTGTCTGCTAAAACTTTGAGTCTTACAAAGAGCTATTTTGTTTTGGTAAAATTATGAAGACATTTGAAATTTTTGGCCTTGTCAGAACACTTCACTCAAATCCCTGTACCCCCAGAACAAGAAGATTATAAATCTTAATTCATGGTGCAGAGATGTTAGATCACACAGAATTCCTCTTCCAATGAGAAAAGGAAAGATGTCTGTCATTGCAGCCAATGGCAAAACCCATTGACTTCAAGTTTCAATGGATCATAAAGCATATATATATATATAAAACTTTTGGCAAGTGGATTGGTACCTTATTTTTGTTCTATCAACTCAGTATTACTTTGAATATAAGGTTTACCTAGTATTTTTCTTAGTCATATTTGAGAGATTAAAAACCAATAAATTAGATTAATGCCAAATTAATCCCTGGCAGATCTATTGGTTATAATGTTATACTAGGATTGTATTTGACCATAAAACTTTCTCTCTCAAAATGAAATTCAGGATTAAAGTTCCATGCTATATTTTGCTTACTCTGGGGTGCCTAACCGTTACTGCATGTGGCCTCTCAGAAAGACGACTGATCCTGTATCTCTCACAATAAAATGTGGTACTTCAGGTTTGAGCAGAAAGACTTAACATTTGGTTTTCATTACTTCAGCAACTTTATCGTAAAGTATAAATTAAATGCAATACTTTTCTGTATTTTAAAAGAAGAAATAACATTACTGTATTGACAACTTCAATATTTAACCTTCCAGGGTTGACTGTTGTTTGGAACTCTTGATTAAAACTGGACGTTTGCCAGAAGCTGCCTTCTTAGCACGTACATATTTGCCAAGCCAAGTTTCAAGGTAACTTTTTAATGTATTTAAAGTAGAAATATGTTCCTTTAAAAACTTTTGTTTACAGCATATATCTGTGCGATTAACAGGGTTGTAAAAATGTGGCGAGAGAATCTCTCTAAAGTCAATCAGAAAGCTGCAGAGTCCCTGGCTGATCCCACAGAGTATGAAAACCTGTTCCCTGGATTAAAAGAAGCTTTTGTTGTTGAAGACTATGTAAAGGAAACTCATACTGACTTGCGGCCAGCTAAGGAATACCCACTTGTCACTGTAAGTAAAATATTTTCATTTCATGAATATAAATGATTCCATGCTTGGAGTTTTGATTTTACAATTTTTACTGCCAGGACCTTTCATGTAAGTGTATTTTTCTCTCTGCTGTTTGTTAGCCAAATGAAGAAAGAAATTTACTGGAAGAAGCGAAAGGTTTTGAACCTTCAGGAGTAGTAGTATCCCAGGTCAGTAATAAAACTGTACAAGAAAGTTACAGGATGAGGAGGATCTGGTATTGTGCAATAGCAGCTGTTCTGGGGACACTACACCCACCTTTAGTGGACAAATTGCTTTAGTTCGCTTTTGTTGCTACTTGGGGTCACTTCTCTTGTCCCATCAAAATTACACTTCCACAAGTTTTATTGACCTCTTGAGCTATTACTGACAGATTGTTCCACTAGCATGAGTTGCTGTACTTCAGTTGGGGCACTAAACGTAAGTACATAGTCTGTTTTTGATGTCAAGTTTTGGTACTGACCTAAACTATGGTTCTTTGATTTCTAAAAGATGGGTGAGAAATTCTTAATGGTACATCTTGTATGGTTGCTGTGAGTACAAGTGCAAATATCTACATTTTCAGCTGGATGAATCACTCAGAGCTAGGTCTTCCTTTGTGGTGCTATTTAATACAAATAGCTTCAGCTGTTTCCAACATTCTAAAACTTAAGTGGTCTAAGAAGTGATTAAAACACATTTTTAATCATGACTAGATAACTTAACGTCTAATAGCCAGTGTACTACTATAAAATGGCACAAATTGCCAGATGGGGAAATCAGTTTCCATTTCTCCTGCAATAATTGGAAGAACTGCCTTTTAAGCATGTAGTACCTTAAAGCTTTAAAACCAGCCAACCAAACCTGTCCCTGAACTCTTAATGAGGGGAAAATGCTGACCTAGTCCTGCTTTGTTCTTCAGATGTAGGCCATTAAATATTCCCTCTTTCAAACATCTTTGTAGAAGGCCCAGGGAGTAAATTGAACCTGCTCCTACAGGCACGTTCTTTATCTTTAAGCCCCTTCATTTTCAGTTTAAACCGATTTTTACTTTAAAAATCACCAGTTTTACAAAATGTTTTTGCTGATTTTCACCCCACTTTTATACCAAATATTTCAAATATAAGAAAATACAATACATGTATTATGATAATACATTAATCTGTATATGCAAAACTGCCTGAAGTAAGGTTTTGCGTTAATCTAGAAGATGCACACAATAAATGAACAGGCACACATGCAAGCTCTGAAGTGCATGTGCATCTGAATGTACTGATGAATCTCATGCCCACCATGTACACATTTCAAGTGGTTAGCAGCTAATGGTTTATAACTCAGTTTACAACAGTAAACTTTATTCAAATTAAAAGTTTTATTTAGGGATTAGAGAGGTATTTTCTTAAACTCAGAGGTGATGTGTTTTGAGTTCTGTTTTGAGTTCTGTTTTTAGTTCTACAGCAAACGACATTGAATTCTGTTCAAAGCATTAATCTACTGAATTTTTTCCCATCCTGCTGTCCACCACAATAAACCCTGATATTTACCCAGAAAAATTAAGATTTTTGCACTGATTTTTCAGCTGTTTTTTGTTGTAGTAATAAACACTGAAAGTCCCAGGAAAATAGTTAAAAACTGGAAACAAAGGGCCCTATTTAGTAAACCCTAAAAAACTCACTTTGGAATTTTGTTTTCTCTATATATTTTCAAAGTGAACTGAAGTTCTTAAATTGAAAATCTGAGAAGCTTCCATGCTGCTGTTGCATAAGAGAAGTTGCATTACTGTGTGGTCTCAGTTGTGACTTCCATTGTAACAAGAGAAACCTAAATCCAAATGTCAGCAACTGGAAAGTGCTGTTCAAAAGCTACTTGGGGAAACCTTAGACTTTAAGTGGAAGAAACAAGCCCTTGCAAGAAAGTATGATCTGCTAGCATCCTTAATTTGGACTTTCAGGCAGAGCTTTAAGTCAATATTAAAAGACCTGTGAATATGAAATCTCATTTTCATCTCCTAAGGAATCTGAAGAGAAAGAACTAGTTCTATCTCCTAAACCAGTAGTGGCGCCTCCAGTTCCAGGAAACTCTGATCATCTTCTAATGACAAAAGATGAAAAGGTATACTTCAGTTTCAAAAGTATAGCTCTGAGATGGAAAGGAAAGCTAACCTGAAATCTACAAGTTTTGATATTTTATTTCCACTGGGGAAAAAGTGATACATAGATTAGTATATCTGGACTAAGTACTGTGAAGTTTCACTTTGTGAGGATACTAACTTACCACTAGTCAGGGTTGATGTTTATAAAATACCCAGCTAAGAAAAAGGTGTGTGTGTGTGTGTATCCTCAGTCAAAACTAGGTCCCACCTAGTCCAGCAGCTGGCCTTTGCTTGTTTATATGACCAGAGGCCAGTTCCTTATGGAACAGCTGCACATGTAGTAGTAGAGTATGTTTAACTGAAGATATCTACTCCCAAGAGCAAAGTAGTTCATGTTTGTAGTTTTAAATTGAAGCACTGTTTGTGGCTAGGTCTAAAGAGCTGTATCAAAGTTTGTTTGCAAACATAACCAACTAAAGGATTAACAGATGTAGCAAGTGTAAAAATTTTCTTCCTGGCACTTAACCCTAAATGTTTTCCTTCTCTCAGGCACTACTAGACTTGGATGATTTGGATAACTTGGATGAGGAGGATATCGATACTACAGATATCAATCTGGATGAAGAGATCTTGGATGACGACTTGATTATTTGTGACTAAATCCATTAATTCATAATTGCAACACTGAGGAATTAAGTTTGTATGGACTACACGGATTGGAAACTAGCTTGATTTTTATACTGCAGCTGGACCATGTAGGTATAGTAACAGGGCCTTTGTTGCACAAAAGAGAATTTTCAGATTGCAACATCTTGAAATTCATTTAGTGTAGTAACTAAGCAGCTCTCCATAAGCTGTCACATTTATCAAGAGAAACTCGAAATAAAGTGTTTAAAAGAGACACTAAAGAATTCCACTTTTATTTTTGCTTACCCCCATTCTAGGGAAATATATGCAATGTTCACTATAACCATTTAACTACGTGAGGCAGTAAAGCAACTGTGACCCTACAGTCTGAGTGGAATGAAAGGCAAGAAAGCCAGGATCCCATTTCCTTGTAATACAGTTTAGCCTACATCTATCAGGTGTGCAAGATGCTATTTTCTCAGGGGAGCTGAGCATCTCTAACTACAGCACATATGCCTAAAATTTAGGCCCTACTTATATTCAGATGGGCAGCTATAGGGTTAGACAGCAGTAGCACACTTTCTAAAGTGACAGGTATCTGGTAAAACTGGATTAGTTACCTCAGCTGCCCCTAAGTGACTTAATACTCTAACCACTACCAGGCAACTTCCTATGAAGGTTTAGTTAAATAAACTTTCCTCAACTTACATCAGAGGTCATGTGTGGCTTCACTGCATTAAGGCTTAGACAGAAGGGGCTGACACCTCATTCAGGTTAGTTGTCCCCCACCTCGCTACTTAAACTAACCTGTGCAAAGAATTAAAACTGCTGTTCTGGTGCTCCTCTGATCTTGAAATTAAATTGAACACATTTAACATGAAGTTGCATGCAGAAGTGTCCCTTTTCAACTATATAAATGCATTGCATAGTAGTCATCCTCTCATACTTAGTGACTACATTCACCTCTTCCACTTGTGTTCTAGTGCTCCTCTCTAAAGGCCAGTTTTTCATGTATAAAAACAGACTGCTTGTTTTTAGTACTGATCTGTTTAGCAAGGGTGACATCTTCTAGTTTTCTAGTTGCAGAATTCTTGTAAAAACTGATTTGCATTACCCTACTGATTTCTTGGTATCTATAGTTTGCTATTTTATGAAAAGTCTGAACCACATACCTCAGTCACTCGTGTTTTATTTTAGAGTTCTATACAGCACTAGCCACATTTTGTACTTCCCACAAGTTAATGATAGCCTGAAATTTAACACTTGATTAAATGAGGCTTTTATTTCACAAAGCTGCTGAACTAGCCAGTGCTTCTTGATAAGCCTGAAGAGCCAGCTCTATATATCCTATCTTCTTTGATTCTGTTTTCATGAACACCTGTTAAAGATAACGGCTATTAAAATGGTAATACAGTACAGAATTTATTATACAATTTCTGATTTACAGAATGACTATTTCTTGTGGCATCTCAGCACACCCCTTACTTTGTTAAAATTGTTAAGTTGGGTGTAGTGGTTTCTTATACATAACTAATGTTTGTACAGTCATTTGATAGTTAAAGAGGGTTTCTTAATGAACTATGAGGCTGTGTGGCTACATATAAAGAAAGCAGGTATCAATGTGAACCTCACCTTTCCATTATTCTATCCAAAGCAGGAAAGCGTACTATACCTTGATTAAATCTACTCCATGAACTTCCTGTTCTTTTGCTGCTTTTGCTGATTGACAGTCAGGGTGGAGCATATGATAGAGGTTGATTAAGCATGTAGCATCATCCATTCTAAAAACAAGTTAAGAGTCATTACTTACAGTTTTTTGGAAATACCATAGCATTTTGTTAGTACAAGTATGAAGGTACACCAGCCCATAACTAAGATCCAAGCAACACTTTGAACATCTCCAAAGTGTAAGTGAGCTTTTATATCAAAGGTGTCACATCTTGGTACTCTTTATGCTATATGCAGAATAAGAATGCTAAGGGGCACTGGCTAAGGGTGTAGAGAAGCTGACCCATGCTATGTCTTGTTTAAAGCCTGTGCTATTAATACCTCCCTAGCATACATTTCAAAATACACAATGGGTCTTTATTCTGCCAAATGGCAATATTTATCTTCACCAATCCTGGAGTGTAAAATTGTTAACAATCCAGGCAGTTTCCAGAGCTTTCTCTGATCTAATGTTATTTTCCCTACTAAAAACATTGAATCACATCTCCCAAAATTTAACTGAAAAGCAAATGAGAATTAGTCCTAAATGTAGATGACATGGTTACTTTTCCCTTTCTGCTGCTTTTTTGTGAGGTGATGAGTTTTTCAGTAACTGGAGTTCCTCAAATAAATTCCCTTTAAATATTTTCCAATCCTACATATTTGATTTTAAGCCTCACCCATTACTGAACCTTTTAAAAAATTCATTTTTTTCCCAAGATGAATTTCAGTGAATGTGGTAGCCACTATTACAAGAATTCCATCTCCCCTTTAAAACAAGGATTTAAGATTTTATAGGGTACAAAACATATTCTCCAGTTTCCACTGTTTCACTTGTCAGTTAAAATCAAGTATCATAGCTGATACATGTTCTTAAATGACATGTCATGACTATCCCTGGTCTTGGACTAACATTTCCATCAAGGTTGTTTTAGAGCTATTAAAGATTGATTTGTAAATTAACAGTATATTAGCTACTTAAAACGCATACAGTAGTCTAGTGATAGCTGAAACAGCTCTGCAGGAATAATTTCTGTTCTTTTGCTGGTGTTCAAGAAAGTGAAGTCTCAAAGTGGCTGGAATGAGACATTTTTAGTGCAGGTGCTCTTAAGCAAGTAAAGTACCTCAGTGAGGCCCTGGAAACTCCCTGGCAAAAACCATGAACTGCCAAAAAATGCAGTCGTTTCCCCAATTTTAGTATGTATATAATAAGGACTAATGGTACTTCATTTACACCCTGTCCTCCTAAAGGATAAGGCCCATCCTAAAATTCCACTTAAAATCATGAAGTGATCAGTTTACAAAGTATACACGTGATTTAAGATTGAGTCTCAACACACCACTGAGTTAAAATGTGCCAAAAGTTATAAACCACAATTATTATTTTTGTTTTAAGTTAAATTCTGCAGGAACTAAGAGGTACAGGTCAGTATTGGCTCAATACAACCCATATCTTTTTTGCATGTATATCCCTTTGCATAAGCCAAAATCACAGCATCTTATAGGAAAAATTTTGCAGTAGGTATTTTCAGGACTATTTGAAATCAGATTTGATATTAACTGTTTATATGCTAGGAAAACAAAGCAAAGCTAGTGTCCAAAGAGCACTTACAAATTTCTCTGGATCATATCTATTAATAAGCCATCTGTCTTCTTCCTATTTACCAAATACCACACCATTCCTCCAAAGTGTCTTGTTGAACGTAGAAGATCATATTTGGCATGTTTATCAATGTCCTCATACGTCTGATGATGAACCTACCCAAAATGAGATTTTAGTTTACAATCCTGAAACTGCCAGAAGAGTGACAAAGATTTACCTTTGCAACACCTGCAAAAGGTCTAAAATAGTGCTGACAGCACACAGCCTCAAAACACTGTCAAACCTAGATGGTTGTACGTAAAAATCTTAATTTTAGATATCACATTGGGATATCCCAATTCTAGGGGGTAAATTAGAGGGACGTACTGACAGTCACAGCTAACATACTTTCATTATTTTGGGAAAATGTAAGTCTGAAGCCTTCAATCTACTCCTTCGCTATGCTCAAGTGACAGGATCTACACCCAAAGCAGGGAGGAAGCAGAAGATGTATGCTTGGTGTATATCCATGCAAGGAACCAGCAAGAGCACCTGCAGTCTCAGACTTCAGTTTCAATAGATGCTGTGAGGTAAAATGTGTTAATAGTTTATGAAAATTTTTTAAAGTCTAAAATTTGCCTTTTCAAAATATCTCCTTCAACTTATTTTTCACACTATATCCCAGTTTGAACAATAACAATTGCTCTTTGGTTTGTAAATCAGTTTCACTTTCAAGTTTTGACATAACAGGAAGCTTCAGTGTTTGGGTTATGGGAATGGCTTAATGTTGATTTCAAGGAACTACTGTAGTAAGATGCTATTCAGCATGAGTAAGGGTGACAATCAGGCTCAATGACATCTTATGGTAGAGTATAGGAAAGGTTATTAAGAAAAAGTTAAGGGAAACAAATTCTGCTAAACATGGAACTATGTTCTCATACATTTTCAATTAACACTGAGAAGTTTTACAACTATATCGTGCACTTAAATTAAGAATACAGGTTCCAAGAGTTAAACAAAATGGATACGTAAAACATTAAATTCTTCTTTATTCCAATTAGGAGCACTTGGCACTTTTGAAAATCAGGCCACCAGCATGACTTAAAGTTAGGAGCCAATCTTAATAAATCTTAGCTAGTGCCCCTAAATAATTTCAAGTAGCTAGTACTAACAAAAGTACTATTTACTTTTTTCACTTGGAATCTTAAGGTCTATTTGTGTCTGCTCCAGTCAAATTTTGTAAACAAATAACTCTACTCATTTGAGTAGTCTTACTGAAGTCAACGGGACTATCTAAATAAGTAAAATTACACACATGCCTAACTGTATGTAGGAGAGTATTTCTTAATGTTAACAGTATAAAATTAAAAATTCATATTTCAAAGCTTATCTTTGACACAAACTACTTCCCCAGAAAATTTTTTTAGCTACTCTCTTCACAATAAGTTGAGATTTTTAGCTTGCTTACTTTGTCCAATTGACAGCACTGTACATAATCTGTTTGTGTGGGTCTTTCACACTACCACAAGGGAGAGAAAAATATTGATAAAGAGCCTACAGCTGGGGTAAGTGTAGTAGCGGAAGCCATTTTTAACGCATTTCATTCACTAGATATCAAGTTGGTAGTGTCCCTTTAACTTACCAGAATTTTGTACATATTATATACAGTTTTGTATGTATTGTTCACTAAAGTTGAATTTGTTTAGAAATGGTAAACATGTTGATAGTGTTACAAAAAAGCAACGGTTGCATAGATAATTTATTAAGTGAAAATAGAGAATCAGAAGTAGATACAATTGGACAGTGATTTGTTTTCATAACATGCCGATCTCGTAGAAAATTGCATATTAAAAGAACCGTACATACATTTTCACTAAATTTTCAGCTGCATTTTTATACCTATGCAGCCATTAAAAGGCAATATGATTTTTCAATCACTGTGGTCCACAGAGAACTCATTCTCATACAAACAAAAACCTACAAGTTGTCATTGGCATTAACTTTCCTATTAGAAATAATAAAATGGACTTACTCTGATATAGTTAGCTGAATCTGGCTCAAACTGTGCAATGCACAGGTTAAGTACATCTTCATGACGGTCCTCACGAAACACAGTCTAAAATGACAGTTGTAATTCAGGAATGAATTTTATATTACCCCTTATTCTAAAATGAAGAAATTAAACAGTCAGTACTTTTCTATTTTAGGTAATGACACATTTCAGGAAATGTCAACAGGTACAAGGCCAAGAATGACAAGCCACCTGAGTGCAATAATTGCCTTTAGTTTCCTTACTGCAATAATGAAATGAAATATATAAAAGTAAAGAAAAAACAATTTGTTTGCCGGAAGCCACACTGCATATTCAGGTCAGGCATGTAGTCTTATCAATACACACAGTAGTTAAGTGTGGACCTCTAACAGACAACTCATTCCATCTGATTCATCTGCACAAAATTTGTTTGTTCCTGACTAACAGACCTGTAAATTTATGAAAATGAGCTATGCTGATAAGTATCTTTATACAAGACTAACTGCATGCACACTACAGGTTTCTAAACCAATATCACTGAAGTGGAACAAAAACAAGGCCTTTACAACACACTTAAAAACTTTCAAATTTCAGGAACACACTATACCAGAAGAGCAACACTAGTGATGAATCTCCACAAAGCCAAAAAAAAATTACCGTAAGGTTTTCATCCTTGAATATTGGTGGTGGAACAAGTTTGCGTCCTTCTCTCGGGAAGTACACCTGAATCATCCTGTCCCGTTCTTCCCAGGTGGCCTTACGTAATACACCACTTGGTTCTCTAACTACAATGAAACGCTCCTGAAATCAAGGGGGGGAAATTTTTTTTTGCACATTTTATCATCATCATTTTTCCCTTAGTATTCTGAGGTGAGGTGGGGGAAATCTGGCTGGAAAAATCCTACTGCGCAGCAGCTCAGGATAAGCAGAAATTCTAGAAACGGGCTTTCCTAATCACTTAACTGTAAATTTGTCCAATGTCATTCATATTTATGTTTGTTACTCATGTTCTAGAGATGGAAAAAAAACTAGTTACAACAAGGGAAATTCACTGAACACTTACTGAATAATTGCAAATACCTGGCTTTCTTCTGAACAACCAAAAATGATCTGACTCCTCTCCTTTCCTTTCAAGAGAAATTCCTGCATTACAGCATCAGAATGTAATTTTTAGTTCTGCTGGCAATAAATGTTTCCTCAATTTTATACTGTACTTACCTGAGGCTGAACTCTGATAACATTTTAGTGAAACCCAAGATTGTTCCTTTGAAGTTACAAGTAAAAATCAGGTAATAGTCAAGAAGCTCTCTTGCAGAATATATTAGTAAGTTACTCACACGGTGTGGAGTGCTATAAGTTATATCAGTAAACACATATTTGACAGTTTCAGTTCCTTCCAGGATCCTGTCTTCTGCCAACACATCATCAATTGGCTCTCGCTCACTCAGAACCGGGGGCATTTTTAATAGTTCTTTAGCTTCCCCAATGGCTTTTCTTGTGGCCTAAAAAGAGAAAATCCAATAACTGTACAGTGAAATATCACACTGGATTGAAGAGTCAATTCGGAAATGGGATGTTAAAAAATAAACTTCCCTCAACTTTTACTACACTGAAATATATTCCAGAGAGAGACACAGGCTGGCTAAAATACTATTCAGGCGATTCTTATATAAATGATATACCACTAGTCCTGACTTAAAAACACTGCTTTGTCATACTCTTGAGTACTTCTCCTGAAGGAAGACTGGAAATTGGGAAAGGTGGACAATAGATTCAAAGAGAATACTGAAGGTGCTGAAGTCACCTAATTTATTTCAGCTAGTCCCTAGCTGCATTAAAACATCACCACCTGCTTAGGAGAGACCCAGGATTGTGGTAGTAACAAAACTGGCTTAAGTTAGGAATCTCAACCATCCAGAGGTTCAGCCAGGGAACAGAGAAGACACTGCGGGCAAAAGATTTCCAGGATTTTAGGTAGTTTGGACATGAAACAAACATACACAGAAAACACACAAACAGAACAGTAAAGAAAAAAATGAAGTTTAATTAAAAAAAATCATCCTAGAGAGACAGAACTATATGCAGTTTACTCTCTTCCATATAGAATAAACCAAAACCCAAGAGAAAAGGAGAAAGAAAGACTGCAGGGTAAAATATCTTCTGAGATACTTAGAAGGACATCACTACATTGAAATCTAGTCACTTAAAAAAGTTAAAAGCATCTTTGGTACTAATATACATCTGTGCCCAAGTTGCCCTGCCTTTTTGTTAGTTTACTGAAGGTTTCATTTTCCTTTAAAAAAAAAAAATGTATTTCACCCCTGCAGTTATGCTGAATCTCAACTTTTGCACAGGCCTTAATGACTGCGAAGTCATCAACCTACTACAGCCTTTTACTAAACAAAGACAGACTGCTAAGGACAAAGAAATCAGGAGTTTGATTCACACTGCTTGAGTAGAGATGGTATTGAATTTCAAAGACATTGAACAGATTTAAAACAATTTTGTTTTTAAATTGTGTTTTTCTGGTAACATTTCCCATTAATCTTTTGAAAAATGTATGCCTACTGACATTCAACTCCTCACACAGAAAAAGCTAATCAAAGGAAATTGACCATCATTTAGAGTACCAGTAAAATATGTTATTTACAAAATGGGATGGAATGGTGTAGTAGAGGATAGAATTTCAAATATATTTTATATAATGCTTAATATAGGTCTGTCTGTATTCATGAAAGTATACAAGAGCTTTATCTGTTGTAAACCTTTTGATTAAACAAATACATATTTTTTAAAAAGAATGGCATCATACCTCTGCTAGCTGTTTTTCTGTCATTAATTTGTAAGTGGGTGGTTTAAGCTCCTGTTTAATGGGTCTAAAAATCTTCTGCAAATCCAACCCCGTCATCTTAGAGAGTAAGCTCTGAACAAGTTCATCCGTAAAACAAGGCTTTGTGACATCTGACTTCTTTTTGTCTGAAAGAGATTTTATAAAAATTAGATTCTTTTCTTTGGCTTAGACTAACATCCAATAGGCTCAAAGTTCTGAATACCAGACCTGTGTAGTTTAGGCATATGCCAGTCAAGAATGAAACAGACCAAGAAGTGAAATGTGTAAGTGACAAGTTCCTTCAATACTTTCAAAATTCAAGGCATTAGTCTGGAGGGTAAAACTCCAAAACATACTGACTGTTCGCAAGTTAGGCGATGCTCAGGAAAGAACCACTTTTGAGCATTTTCAGGTCTAAAACATACTGAGTTTGTGTTTAGAGTATCCTGTTCCACCCCATGTCTCCAAGCGTTCAGAAGATAAAGGGGTGTATAGGTCCTGGAACTAGTGCTGCCGCACCCCCGGGCTTGAAGTGGTTTCCATCATGTATAGGCAAAAAGAAAAGGAGTACTTGTGGCACCTTAGAGACTAACCAATTTATTTGAGCATGAGCTTTCGTGAGCTACAGCTCACTTCATCGGATGAAGTGAGCTGTAGCATGCATCCGATGAAGTGAGCTGTAGCTCACGAAAGCTTATGCTCAAATAAATTGGTTAGTCTCTAAGGTGCCACAAGTACTCCTTTTCTTTTTGCGAATACAGACTAACACGGCTGTTACTCTGAAACCTATCATGTATAGGGTTTACCGTTTGGTTCAATGGCTCTCAGCACCCCTGAAGGGGTGGCCCAGCTCTGTCCCTGCAGGCTCTCCAAGGCTTTCCAGAGTCAGCCCGCACCAGCGAGCCAGGGCTTTCCTACCCAAGGCGGGGAGCGGGCGCGCAGGGGGCGGGGCCTTGGCTGTTGCCCGAGGGCCAAGAGCCCAAGCGGACGCGGACGGAGGAGAGATCCGGCGGGCTGCGCCAACACACCCACCAGCTCGCTTCCCGCCTCGCTCCCTGTCCCTTCCGCAGGCCATGGGCTCGAGGCGCGCCCGGCAACCTACCGGCCTCTGAGCCCGCGTCCTGGCCGTACCTGCGGCTCCCCAGCAGGGCGCGCCCTGGGCGCTGCACCCCGAGGGGAGCTGCCGCGCGGCGCCACAAGCGCTGCCACCGGGGCACTCCGAGGGCCGCCATGCCGGTGCGCTACTCAGTCCGCCGCGCTCTCACAACGCGACTTCCGGGAGGCTACGCTAGGCACGCTGGGACGTGTAGTCCCTGGGACACACCGCCGGCACTGGGCCCCGAGGGGTGGCGGGAAGGGAAGAGCCTGAGAGGGGGCGGGTCAGTGTCTGCCATGGGAGACTGCCAGAGGCGGAGCCATTGAGAATATTAATATTCATTGAGGTCAGTTTCTTAAGGCCAGACAGGTGTCATCAGGAGGGTGGAGGCAGGCCTAGAACCGAGATAAAGTAGGAATTTCTGTTCCACTGGAAATGCAATGTTTGGGGGGCTGGGGACCTCTGGATTGGAACAAAAAGTCAAAACTTTGGAAGTTTCCTGAGAAAAAATTTTCAGAAGAAAAAAAAAAAGTGGATTCCAGGTCAGAGCAGTGGCTGAACTGCAATAGACAAATAATATAGACACAACAAATAAATAGATTTCTAAATGAAAAAAAATCAAAATATGCTGTTCTGACTCTTATTGAGTCTTGAGCTGACTCTTATTGAAATGCTTATTTTTTAAATGTTGTTATCAAAACAAAATTTGGTCAAACAGACCCATTCCTATGGAGTGTTTTCATTTCGACGAATTGATGTTGTCCAATGGAAAAATGTTTTGACAGAAAATTTTTGACCAGTTCTAAGCAGCAGTTTACTTCTGTCTGCTATGGTCATTCATTAGCTGACCACTGCTGGTTGTTTCTCCCCATGCTTTTCTCTGCAGTTTTGGGAGCTGGGTCTGCTATATAAACTAGTATCAAAAGTAAGTATGTAAAATATGTTTTCTGAAAACAACAAAAAGCCCCCAATCCCTTGTGTGTTAGGGTATACAGACACCACACTAGCCAGAAAGGGGTTAATGAGAAAGTGTAGGCTCAATCAGACCTGCTCTGTTACACCTGTGAGAGATGATAAGCCTGGAAAGAGGGGACTGAAAGCAGGAAAGCTCTGTGCAGTGATGGTTGGTTTAGAAAAAGAATGAACCTTTTGTGTTATTCAACTAGATTCAATTAGCTAGGTCTCAGTAGACGTTCGGAGACTACTTGAAAGAAAGCCTGGCTGGGGCCAGGCTCTTTCCAACTGCTCTTGGAGTCCAGAATCTTCTGGGGGTGGGGGGCTGGTAGATAGATAGGCCTGGTGCAGGACTTTTATGCTTGCTTTGTTCTCGATTAGTCTGTTTTTTCTCTGGTATCTATGGAGATATGAACCTGGGAAGGGGCTATGGGAAAAACCTAGAGACAGACTAGAGTAAGAGGTAACCCAGGGGGCTTCACTAGACAGACCTTAGCTACTTGCTACAGGGTCCCTGCGCTGAAACCTAGAATAAAGGGAGGGCTTGGTTTCCCCCACAAGTGCCCCAATGAAGGTGGTCTGAAGATCCTTTTGCAGGTCTGAGCTCAGGCTGAAGACTTAATGTGAGACTGGTGGACTTTTGTTCTGTAGGATTCTCTGTTGCCCCTGAAGGGGTGGGACTGTTTCTGACCTAGCTGGAGGACTGAATCAGAAGAAGTAGTAAACCACTGCAGGGCTGCAGCAACTGTTTGCAGAGTGTGCTGGAAGAGAAGACCCTGCTATGCTATCCCCAGCCATGATGGGTTGTGCTGGCCGGTGAGTCACACTTCTACATCTTGTATCCCCAATAATGTCATACTTACAGAAACTTGTTTGTGGCAGAGCCTGTAGACTCATCAGATACAGAAAAGAAAAAGTAACTAATAAAATGTGCATGTTTTCACCAACACGCTAACCAGCATCCTGGGGGGTTTGGTCTTACAGGGAATGTTATTTAGCACAGGTTCTCTTTTGATTAACTGCTATGGACCACTGGCTAAATGGATTGATAACTTATTGTCAAAGCAGGAATTACAGTAGTGCTAGTGTAACCTTTAGGGGTGGGCTACAGTTCACTTCAATTCCCATCTCCAGTGCCTTAAAAAAAAAAACTCAACTCCCATAGAAAGTAGCCGGAGATCCAGACTTCATCTCTAAGGATTTTCAGCAAAGATTGCACAGGGTCAACCTCTCCACATTTGAGTCCCAAAAGGAACTAAAGAAATTAATGTAATTAAATAACTTCGTAAAATCTTATGATAAAGAAACCTAATTTTTACTGCATGACATGGCTATTTTATAATCCACAGACATTACCGTCAGTTAAACATAAAGAAAAAAATTTAAAATCTGAACAGTTCAGTCTCCACAGAAATTCAGTGAGAAGAAACTGAAGGTTCCAAAAAGCTTAGGTTTTGTTCACCTATGTCTCAGTTAAAAGGCTTTGATCATCAAATCTATAGTCTGCTGAGTCTAAAACAACACCTTTTCTCCACTTGCTTGTCGGAATCTGCAGTTGGAATCCATACATATTCTTCCTCTGCTGAAATCACTGCTAGCTAGTCAGCTAACTAATTAATCAAACACTCAATTAAGTGTACAGACTTAAAGAAAACCCGGTTACAAGAAAATACAAAACTGAGAATAGCAAAATATAAATGACTCTTTTCTCATTACCACATTTAAAGAAAAGTTGGTGACTCAAACTAGTTGAGACAATTTAACTAGAACAGTTCAGTTAAAATCAAAACAACATTCAAAGCATACAATTAAAAAATAAGTTACTTTCCCCTCCCAATTTCCCCTTACTATAATTAGCATTCTCCTACTTCTCTGTTAGAGGGTTAACAACGTCACGAACTTGCTGTAAAATGCTTCAGAGTTAGGAACAACAGCCTGCTTTCTGCTCCTGGGCTCAGCTTCGCCCAGCTCACAAAGGGCACATAGCCTTCTACAAAGCAGCTGCCCTGACTGCTTGCCCTCATGGAGTCTGAACCCAGCAACAGGGAACCATTGGAGCATACCCAAAACTACCATACCCAGTTCCAGAAGCTTCTGGATGTGGCATGCTTAATCGGCCTAGCAACAATGACCCAGACACAACTCACTTCTACCTCCTCCAATGGGTCTCTTAAAGAGATATCTCCCTATTAGGCACATGGGTTACACTAGGAAAAAAGGAAAATGCTTCAACTGAATTTGTTTTAAAAAAATTCAAAGAAAATGTTACAACAGAAATTGTAGATGGATTGTGTTTACAGTAATAACATGCTTACCAAATCTGATATGGCAGTCTCATATGGATAGCAGACTTGCTTGTTTGATAAACTAGGATGGAAAAAAATAAGAAAAAAAGTCAATTAAAATATCAATTATTTTATTGAAAATAATTGGCATTCTACAAACCATACCTTACAGAGCTGATCAACAAACAGAATTTCCACACTCTGGGAAACTCCAATATTTTGAAATTTGTTTTCATCCAGACAAAAAAGCCACAATATCAGAACTTTTCACAGAACACAAATTTCAAAAATACTCCTTTTGCTTTGGAAATGTTGAAGTGTTTCTCTTGCTGGCTGTCTGGTTGAGATCCTGTGCAACTGGTTTGAGAAGCTGAGTTTCCTAAATTGGGAGCATGACTGTGAGAGGCAGGGAAAAACCTAAAATCCACATAAAATTAAGAAATATTAACAACATCATGCCCCATTTCTTTTTAAGCAAAGTGCCACATATCCTTCAATAGGGACTTTGTCTAAAAGTTAATGAATGATGTGCCTGGCTATTTCCTTTCCTAATCACATGACATATCCTATTAAAGGGATGGAGGGTGTCTCCTACTTGGTAGGTTTGCTAGTGGGTGCAGTGGAATGGTTAAAAGGGAAAAGAGAAGGTGACTAAAACTTGAATGCTGCTGTTACTAACTAATCTGTATTCCATAACTACTATCATATATACAGAAAATATGATGTGGCATAATTTTCTTGCTGGCTATTTCATCTGGTTCCCTTATAATCAGCTTCTGGTATGGGTATTTATCTTGTTCTGAGCTTGACAATCTGCCTGAGAGGGGGAAATTCTGTAGTAATTTTGCATAATATTAAGATGCTATTGTTTTCTTTATGAATTTGAGACTTGTATGACCTATCAGGGGATAAATCCATATCCTAAATGGCAAGCTATCTGTCTGGCACATAAGAAGGGATAATTCCAAAAAAATGGGCAAATTAATCATTCATTTTAATGACTTAAAAATCAATTTCCTAAGGAAAGAATGTCTCTTAAGTTGAGATACCAGTTTCCTTCCATTTTCTGGAAGGAGTAGCTATCTCACTTGTGATGGTTTTAGTCTCATGCCCTCCATAAAGCCTGTGGTATTTAGTCTTTAGAAAGCTAAAGTAATAAAATAAATGCCAAGCATATTTAAAAACAAATAAAATTATATCCCTCAATAATATCAAATATTAGAACTCTTTATGTAGCAGATCCTGTCTCCTAGAGGGATAATTGACTGGAGGATTAAAAGATGTGAAACAGTGAAAAACTGTTTAAAACATGTGTGTTGTTTTCATTTTAACACAACCAGCATCCTGTGACTGACACAAAATGTTATTTGAATAGGTTCTATTTTCATCAGCTGGCTTGGGTATTCTACTACTGGTTTGATGGGTTGCTGTCTCTTGTTGGCATCATGTCACAGCAGGAATTACACCATCGGGGTGAGGGGGGAGAAAAAGGGAGCATTATGTTTTTGGTAGTATGCTTAGTGTGATGGCAGAATGTGTTTCATGGTTGGCAGGCTGATGAGTTTAGATAGGTAAAAGAAAAGGAGAGAGAAGACAAAACATGGATTTTATTGTCACAAAATAATCCATCTTCTACACATCCTACCTTATTCCTAAAGAATAGGACTTGGCATAGTTTTTACCTTGTGTAGCTGCTTGGTCATTTTATGCTGTGGCCTCTTGTTATCCTGGCTTCTTAACTATGTGTGACAAAGAAGAATGTAAGTATCCATAAAAATTATAAATATATAGAAGTACTGTCTTCTTTCTTAATTTCATACTTAAATGACCAGGCTACAGCCACTGTCTGTCTACTTTTCTGGCTTATGTAGTGGAGCGTCTTAAAGGAAAAATGAAAATAGGAGAGGAAATTTACAGGTTTCTGTTATTAATTTATAGTCTACTATA